TTTCTTTTGGTATGATCTCTTGGCAAGGAATAATTACATCTCCATTTATTTATGTTTTAGTCACACACTGCTTGAGGTTTAAATGTTTAGTTTCTAGGGCGTGAGTTATATCCATTCATGTACTGACTGTGAGGATGCTTCTCTCTCTTCTCCTAAAGCAGGGATGTCAAACTCATGTCATCACGGCATTGTCACATGATGTACCACAACTTTCCCCCTCTTCGCTAAACCAAGCATGGGCGGGCCACAAGTTTGACATGCCTGTCCTAAATCATTTGGTACACTGGATTAATATACCAGAGGCAGCAACCTCTGGATTGTGCTTGTAAGATTCTCAGTAAAGGAGGAGAGGTTTTATTGCAAAGCTCCCAGATCTCATGACCTACCCAGGGGTCAGCAACCCTCATCTCTGGAGCCCCATATGGCTCTTTCATCCTTCTGCTGTGCCTTCCTGTCGCCGGTCAACCCCACAATCGATAGGGCTTTCAGTTAGGACAGGTAGAGGAAAAAGGACGCTGTGCTAGAAGGAGACTCTATCGTGGGGGAACCGGAGTTCAGGTTGGCAGAGGAAAAAGGCTCTATGGTGGGGAACCGGACTTCCAGTCAGTTCCAGAATTGAATGGGCTTCCAGTTAAGATCTTTGTGGCTCTTTGAGTGTTTAAGATTGCTGATCCCTGATCTACCCACACACTGACAGACAATAGCACTGGCTAATCTTGTTTCAGCCAATGCAGCCACTTTCTACACAACCAACTGTAGCCACCTAAGCAATTGTACAAATCACTGATATATTGGTATGTACAGGACTCTGGATTACCACACGGGAAGGAGTGCAGTGAAGTTTAGATTGTTTGGTTGGGAGGAAGAGAGTTAAGACAGTTCCTTCCTAGGAGTTCTCAGAGTATATACTTAATGATGCAAATAGTTTTCTTTAGCTTTGTAAAATTTCTGTCTGTAGGTGAGAAACGATAAAGGAAACTGTTCAGAAAAACCTCAGCATATCTTTCCTGCATTCTAGAGCCTGGCATCTATTTGGCATGTCAAAATTACATTGACCTGTGACTGAATTTGGAGTGTTCTCCCTTTCCTACCAGAAATGTGTCAACAACACTGTTGCCTAAGCTGACAGAACACCCTGCTGGGTATACTGACTGGATAGTCATATTGTTGAGGTGACTGAAAGGAGCCAGGCAAATTTTAATCTCTTTTAGGTTATTGGCCCAAGTGTGACATTGCACAATAGACAGACTTCTGCAAGGAAAAGTGGAAAATGCAAATTCAGGTGTTAATTCTGAAAAATAATGGAAATCAACTGGCTTCTGCTATGGGCTCTGGATAACAGAAAGGAGACTCCGTCTGGAAACTTCCTTCCAAAATGGTTATCCAACCATCTTAAATTAGGTCATGGAGAATACTTTTACAAATGTATGGGGATCCTGCTTCTAATCGCAGAACAGAGCATCTAACTTCAGTTAGTATGTCAGCAAATATTTACTGAGAGGGAGAATATGGGAGAATAAACAATTTAGGTCTGCTTCCTCCTGATTCAGTATAGGATTTGGCAGTGCCAAAGCAACATCACCAATAGACAATTTAGACGAATATTTCTCAAGCTGGGGAACTTTAAGATATATGGACTTCAATTCCCAGAATTTCCCCAATCTCTTTACGCAACACTATTTTAGCCCTCTGATCATCTTGTTCTTTCCTCAAAACCATTTGAGCTTGTTTTACACGTTCTTGCCTCTTATATCCAAAAGCACATAGGTGACCATTGCTGAATCGAGGGGGCAAGAGAGTGGGATCTTTAATCCCATCCATCATTATTCTGTTCTTATTTAGGACCATAATTCAGATGATGATGCTTTTAGCATTGCTAAATCTTGCATCTACTGCCAAATGTGAAAGATATACTAATGGCTTAAGGTCTAGGCCAGACAGTTAAGAGACTGTTACATCCTGTTACAGGAAAATAAACACAGACATCTTATTGAGAAATGTCACCATTGCCTTGTAATTTGAGGGGGTTCTTGGTGCTCTCTGAGCTTGCCTCATTACCCAAACATCAAGTGCTAGTGCTACAATGGTACCTAGTTTGGATAATGAAACATCTGCAGGAAAACAAGTAAGCTTAGAGAGCACCAAGGATTCTGCTTTTCAACCCTGGGCTACAAATATTCTTCATTATTGGTGCATTTTAATTTATTCAGAATAGCCATTTTAAAGATCAGCATAGATCATGGCATAATTTTTATCTTTCATTTCCTCTTATACAGAAAAATGCAGCTAAATTTATCTTGAACAATGGGGAGATTGTTGACAAGACTATTTACTTTAAGACACCCCTTTTTGAAGAGAGCTGCATTCCCAAACCAAAGATTTCCCTCTCTGCTACGTGGATCCAACTTGGAGTTATTTTGTTCTTTCTAATCGTGTTGGGGCTTATGACGTCTATACTCACACAACTTAAAATATTAGTGGCAACTGCGTTCTTTCCGAGCACAGACATGAAACGGATAAAGTATCTGCACACAAAATTGTTAAACAGAAGATCCAAGTTCTCCGGGAAAAACGTGAAAAGGAAACTTAATTCATTTGCAAAGGTAAACTGTAAATAACATGAAATACAGTGCTGGTTGGCTACTGTTCAGAATGTAATTGTAGAATCCACCAAAAATAAGCACCATCAAAACTTTTATCTATAGAACCGGGATCAATACTACTCTCCTCAAGATTGCCCTAAAGGGAATCTTCACATATTTACAATAAATATGGAAGCTACTTAGACCATAGACCACATTACGCTGGTTATATCTCTATTACAAAGTAATGTTTTGACTCACATAGATATTGTCTCTGCACAAATACCTATAGCCATTATTGAAATGCATATGTGTCTGAGGTTAATTTTCCCGCTTTCTCCATCAATATCTGAAGGATGAAGGAGAAGAAATGCTCAGCATTCATCCTGAAATGGGCCTACACATAATTTTTCTGGGTTTTTTCATCATCACTTTTCACTTCTGCTTAGGAGACAGATACCAAATAAAAACCTCTTCTTTTGTAATAAGTAAAACTAATCTTTTTCTCTTTCCTTTCTCCTTTACAGTTGCATTTTTGGTTTCCCATCTTCCAGGCACTGGGAAATGCCAGGAAGAAACCAACCAAGGTGGAAAAAGAAAGTCCTATTTTATAGCATTAACTACAGGTTCTCAAGCTCAACATTTTGCCTAGTGAAGAGCTCTTGGAACTTCAAATGTTTGGGTGTGTTTTGCAAAAGACTGATTGCCTTAATATGAAATTCGAAAACATTAAAGAAATATTTAAAAATGTAAGGCTCCATTAGTAAAAAAAATAAATCAAAAACATTTGCTTCATTTCCCTTATGCTGGTTCATGTTTCACTGCAGAATTGTGCCATTTAGCTTAAGGTGACTCAGTTGAGCAGACTATTTTTGACACCCCATCAAAACATCACTTCCTTTCCAGATATATAATAATTGTTATTAGTAAACAGAAGAGGAAAAGAGAAAGAACTGGTGAAAATCAGGAAATACAATGACCGGCAAATAGTAGTAGAAGGACTTTGATGAAAGTAAGTACCAATAGTATTAGGTGCCTTAGGTGCAATGCCAAAACAGCATTGACAAAATCACTGGTCAATTGCAAAAACCAACTTTAGTTGGAACAGTTTAATATCATCAAGCAATAACATCTGCCTATCCCATCTCTTTGGGAAGGAGTCGATAGGTGAATAAAAATGCAAATCCAGTCTAAACATCTGGCTGACTGGGTGACCAGCTATAATTCTATGGAAATTCTCAGTCATCCAGGTCATGGTTGTCCCAAAGGTGCTTTTTCAGGAGGCAACTGGACTTCGTTGTTTTTTCTTTGAAGATGTTTTGCTTCTCATCCAAGAAGTTTCTTCAGCTCTGACTGCTGAAAAAACACCTTTGTGACAACCATTAACTGGATGACTGAGAATCTCCACAGAAATTTAGCTATGGACTTTGGGATGAACACCCTTTAAATAATATGAGAGTATGAACAGATTTCCAGAAAAATGGCAGACTATAGAAACCATTTGCAGTTCAATTTGAGATGCAGAAAACACAAACTCATTCCCAACAGCCTGCATCTGTCTTCAACAGTGAAGGGACACANGTGCGCATGTGCCACGCACATCCATGTGGGCAACACTAGGTGTCCAGAGCCCACCACCGGTGTGTTCCTACTGGTTTGGACCGGTTCAGCTGAACCAGTAGTGGTTTGGCAGCCTGGGTTGCTGGAACCGGCAGTGACCCAGGCCTGCCATGCCCCCAAACCGGTTCTCCAGGTGGCGCCATAGGTGCTGCCATCTTTGTTTTTTGCTTCTGCGCATGAGCAGAGCAATTTTTATTGCACTGAACATCAAGTGTGTGCGGCATGGCCACGAGCGAACCGCAGTAGTGACTGCCATAACCCACCCCTGCCCCAGATCCTTGAATTTAGGTAAAACTCACTCCCCCTTCCCAACAACAGGGCTCAAATAAATTTCTAATGTATTTTCCAGGCAGCTAATTCTACAAATTTACCTGCCATAGTCTGGATCATTTCCAGGTGCTATCCAGTATCAAGAGCAACCCAAAGCAATTTATATAGTCAAATCAGAAATATTACTAAAATAAGTACAGTAACAAGACTTCTATCTTCCAGGAAAGAGAAATCAATGACAATATATCTATATTCAAGCCATACCTTTGAAAGAATTTAGTTCAGATCAGAAAGCTAGAGAAAGGAGCAACTATTTTGAGAGTGCATGCGTTATTATGCATGCTTTAGATTTAAAGATACTTTAGACGCTAAAAATATTTTAGTGCCCACAGAGGGTTCTCATGAAGTACCTTTCTGCAGCTCTGAGGTTAAGTATGTGTGCTGGGGCTTCACTGTAGCTGAAATGGCGAGCATGCAATTCTAGGGAAAGACGTAGCTGCTTTAATGAGAACTCTTTGTTCTTTGTTTTCACCATTGTGGTAAAGAATGAATTGAAATCTCACTTACCACTCCTTTTTCCCAGATCACAGACATCCTGTCTTCCACTCCATTCACTCCATATGGGATCTTTGTGAAATCATTTTTTCCCACAGCCTTCTGGCAGATATCATATGTACAGTTATCTGTTCCCGTCAGAGTCAAGTCACCACTTTTTTTAAAAAGGTAAAAAGAAATACTACTATTGAAGTGGCATAAAGGACAAGATAATTTTATATGCTCCAACAAACCTTACATTTCAGAATTATACACCCTACATGCTTCATTGTTTAAAAAACATTAAAGTGAAAAGAAATTTGCTGAAAAAATGGTAAGGAAAGAAAAAGAATGAATCACCTATAAAGGAATCATATCACTTTCAGGTAAAACCAATACAACTCTAGTGAATGCTGACATTTGTGAAGATAATAGCTTGTATTCAACCATAACTCCAAATTAGATGGGACAATGTCATAAGAGCAGTGAAAATAGAGCAAGGCAGATGTTCTGTTCAACCACATCAGGAATCTCCTAAGATCTTGATAGCCCTCATATATTGCTTCCCAAAGATGATAGGGACTCAGTGGCTCAGTGGCTAAGACGCTGAGCTTGTTGATCAGAAGGTTGGCAGTTCAGTGGTTCGAATCTAACGGAATGAGCTCCTGTTACTTGTCCCAGCTTCTGCCAAACTAGCAGTTCGAAAACACGTAAAAAATGCAAGTAGAAAAATAGGAACCACCTTTGGTGGGAAGGTAACAGTGTTCCGTGCACTTTCGGCATTTAGTTATGCTGGCCACATGACCACGGAGATGTCTTCGGACAGTGATGGCTCTTTGGCTTTGAAACGGAACTGAGCACTGCCGGGAAGTCGGGAACGACTAGCACATATATGCAAGGGGAACCGTTACCTTTTCCTAAAGAGGATATTTCTCCCTAGTGATATTAGGATCATTATTCTACTGTAGATTCTGGAAGTACAAGTAGTCCTTACTTTGCAACATTTAGTGTTCAAAGTTGCAATGGCGCTGAAAAAACCACTTATGACCATTTTCACACAACCATTGCAACATTCCTATGGTCAGGTGATCAAAATTCAGGCGCTTGGCAAGGTAGTCATATTTATGATGGCTGCAGTGCGCTGGGGTCATGTGATCCCTTTTTGTGACCTTCTGGAAAGCAAAGTCAGATTCACTTTGCAACGGTGTTATTAACTTAATGATTGCAGTGATTCACTTAACTGTGGCAAGAAAAGTCATCCAATGGGGCAAAACTCATTGATTGAACTGTCTCGCTTAGCAATGTAAATTTGGGTCTCATTTGTGGTTGTGAGTTGAGGACTACCTGTACTCTTTTGGTGGGTTGAGGGGCAGGCTTAAATTCCTTTCATTAACCAATGAAAGGAAACCTAGAATGCTGCAGTATGAAGAGTGCCTTGGAGCCACAGAATACTTTCAGGAAATAGAAATGGTAGGTGGATGCATTCCAATGCTTTCTTTGGAAGCGTTCCAAATATTTAGAAATTGACCAAGACAAGCTGGACAAATTAGGAGGATAGTGGAGTTGGGCTAGAAGAGGAGAGAAGGATGGAGAAAGCAACCTATTGAAATTGGGTCCTAATAAACAGAGATTAAAAGGGACGCGGTGGCTCAGTGGCTAAGACGCTGCGCTTGTTGTTCAGAAAGGTTGGCAGTTCGGCAGTTTGAATCCCTAGTGCCGCATAACTGAGTGAGCTCCCATTACTTTTCCCAGCTTCTGCCAACCTAGCAGTTCAAAAGCATGTAAAAATGCAAATACAAAAAATAGGGACCACTTTGGCGAGAAGGTAACAGCGTTCTGTGTGCCTTTGGTGTTTAGTCATGCCGGCCACATGACCACACAGACATCTTCAGACAGCGCTGGCTCTTCGGCTTTGAAACAGAGATGAGCACTGNCAGTTGGCATGAGCTTAAATGGATTCCAGAGGATGGTAGAGGACAGGAAGGCCTGGAGGAATGTTGTACATGAAGTCGTGGTGGGTTGGATACGACTTGGCAACTAACAACACCATAGACCTGTTGTTTGGGCTGAAGATCAAGGATTCTAATAACCCAGAAAAGTAGAAGTTGCATTTGTTTTGTTATACTTAACCATCTTACCAAACTACCACCTCTTTAATGCTATACCTTCTATCTTGCAGATTTTAATCATATCCTCCAGAGACCCTTGAGATTCTGTCTTAAACTCATTTACGCTCTGTAAGATATTTAGCAGCAGACTAAATAGCCACAACCTTTGGGCATGGTATACTTTGTTTACCCAGCAAACCCACATTCCCAGAACACAAATTTATGCAACATTTTCCTTTTGAAAATGTAACTGAGCCTGGAATTACAGTCATACGTTATAGCCAAAGCATTTGGACTTACAAAGCATTTAGCCCCATAGCACTTTAAAGCACTCTCTGGGCAGTTTACAATGTAAGCATTATTTGCATATTGCCCCCAAACTGGCCCCTTATTTTACCGACCCCAGATGGATGGAAGGCTAAGTCAACCTTGAGCCCCATCAAACCGAACTCTACGCTGTGGGTAGAGTTTGCCTGTAATACTGCATTCTATCCAATGTGCCACCTATAATGCCATCTGTTGTAGCTCGCCAGCAGAGCTGGCAGCAGATTTAGACAGTAAGGAAGTTGGGGAGGAACATGGGCCAGTTGTGGAGTATGGGAAAAGCTCTGATGAGAGCTCTGTGTTAGAGGCAGAGAGGGGGCCAGAGCCGTTTGCCAGATATCAGCTGCCTTCAGAGTCAGACATCACTGAGGCAGACGAACATCTGGAGCCTGTTCCCAATGTGTGCATGCGCAGAGTTGCCAGACGAAGGGAACAGCTAAAGAACAGGGGTCGACTTGGGGAGTAAAGCCACATGTGGATGATGAATGGCTCCTCCCAGAGGAACTAAAAGAGGAGTGAAAGGGGGGTGGAGTTTGCAGGAGACAATTAGTTTGCTTAATTAGTTTGTGATTCTCTGAGACTCCTTGCCAAGTTTTGCAGATATTGGCCTGTCAGCTCTCCAAGCCAGATAAGATCTGTGACTGTAAATCCTCCCTTGAAAGACTTTGTTGGATGTGAATGTTTTGTTCTGATCACTAAATTAATGCCATGGCATTAAGTAAATGTGATATTCACTAAGCAAACCCATTTCATCCAATGGGTGCTTTTTGTGGGAAACTGGAAGTAAATACCAGTTTGGGGCAAAAAACATAATAAATGACCACAGGATGCTGCAAATGGCCATAAATGTGGTCTGGTTGCCAAGTGCTCAAAATGTGATCATGTGGCCACAGTTGGAGGGAGGGGAGGAAGCTGTTCTAACTTTGAAACCAGGTTGTAAGTAGCTCTGGGGAGGTGTGTCATAGCTTCGAATGATTGCTAAACAGCCAGTCATAAGTGAAAGACTACCTGTAATAAATCAGGGGCATCTTCAGGATGAATTAAAAAGACAAGATGGTAGCACATATAAAAACATAGGATGTAACTGAAAACAAATAGCAAACAATTATTTTAATTTATCCCGGTTATACATTTATAACAGTAAATTAAAAATAAATAAAATGCATCCAGTTTTGTCCCATCAATAACACTGAAGTATATCTATCTGCTGTGAATGATACCATTTGGTATTCAGCATATATTTGGTATGACTTTTATGATAGACTTCCTTTCATAACAACCTTTTATTATTTTTCAATCACTTTTCCACTTATCGTTAAAATAGATTTCCAGCAAGCACTGAAATCAAATCAAAATAGTACTTTAACATCATCATGCTTTTTAGTATTAGAAATCACTTTTTAAAAGTTAAAGGGCAAGTTCATCATATTAAGCATGTCATTTTTGTTTTATGCTGTCACAGAAGTAAAAAAAAAAGATGTTTAAAAAGAAGATCGCCTGGAAAGTAGGTTATTCAGAACTAAAAGTTAATAAAAGAATTTCATAAATTATTGTATGATGATAGAGTCCACTAAGCAATTGATGTTTAATTGTAACAGCAGGAAAATGCTTTGCCATTGTCTTGCCAGGTAAAGTTTTGGTCTATCTTGCGATCCCAGAACTCCCTAATGCTGTGATTTAAAACTAAGTAATAATAATAACCAAGCCCAACCACAATTAATTTTTGACTGCAGATAAAATCGCCCTGATCTGTCACCTGTTGTCTGGTACATGATCTCAAAATCCAGTTCTTCAAAAAAAGTAAAGAAAATAGGGGGAAACATGTCTTGCAGGATTCAATCTGAGTCAGTCACTGGGAGCAGAAGTTTAGCCTTCTGAGCTGGTGCTGATGACTGACCCAGGTTGGATCCTGCAACATTATTCTTGGACCATCTACATTTGCCTTCATTTGTGTAAACTCCTGTTTTCCAAGATGAAGCTCTACAGAAGCCCTAGACCTCATCCCCAGTGTTTATGCTTGCTGTAAATATGAGAGTTAGGCTGCCCGATCTTGAAGGTGCCCAGCTGGAGGAGGCTGGGTGACTATGACTATGAAATTCATCCAGACTGCTTGCTGTTGTCACAACAGTGAATAATGCTAGAATTTAAGGAGGAAAGTGTAATTATCTGCTATATCCTCAGGGAAGAGAGCACTGGCATTTTAAATTTATGGATTCAGAAAGGATATAAAATGAGTCCAAAAAACAAATAAACCTTGAGTGTATTGTTGAAAAGTTGGAATGATTAAACTACTTTGACTTACAAGTTGATTCTGGAAAACAAAACAGGATTTATAGATTTATTTACAGTATGCCTAGATAAATAGCTAAGGCATTATGTTAGCCCTCTTCAGTCTGCCCTTCTGTTGTATTGAGTCAATGACTCCCAGACTGTCTTAGTATGGCCTGTGTGTCATGAGTCCTTCTAATGCAGAACTGAGGCTATGCCTCCGCCTTTCTCAACCTACTCTACTCAGAAAGGCTTCCAAAATTCCCTAACCAGTATGACTGGGGAATTCCAGACTTTTCAACTGCAATACAGACAGGTTGCATCAGGTTCAGAGGTGGGTTCCTACCGGTTCAGACTGGTTCAGCTGAATAGGTAGTAACTCAGCCGGACATGCGCCCGAACAGGTTCTATCCTCAGCGGCGCCATCTTGATTTTCTGTTCTGCACATGCGCAGAACAATCTTCATTGAAAAAAA